TCCAAGGATAGAAGAATTCCAAATATTAACCTTACAAATCGAGGATAATATAGAAGATAATAATAATAATTCTGATATATATACTGAGGAACAAATGGCAGCATATTTAGCAGCCAAATTAGAAAGGAAATCAGAAAGAAAAAAGAAGAAAATCAATACTAATTATATTAAGCAAGATTATATGTCAAATGAAAATAAACATATAAGAGAATGGTATCTTGCAACAGTACCATTAAAAATAAGAGACTTATTACAAGCAAAATATAATAAATTTCTCAAAAAAGAAAGAGAAACAAAAGGATACTTTATATGGTTAAAAGAAAAATATCAAGATAAAATTAATATTCCTTCATTTGGTAATCTCCAAACTTTGGAAGAAAAAACCTATATTAGCACAGATGGAACTACTACTGCTAGTACACATCTTCCTGAAAAGAGCATAATACTTAAAGGCGTCACTCCATCAAATAAAGGAGAACCACCTCAATCTTTATATGATATCATTGCTACTCCATATAAAGTCTTACCCAAAGAACTTGGTAAGAAACAAGAGTTAATCCCCCATATTGTGGAACAAAATAATTTTGAACGCAGTAGGATGAGGAGGAGAAAAGCAAACAAGAGTTTTTACCTTTTGTTTGATTATTTGTACTGCTCGAGTATGGATATTTGTCTATGGTGGAAGATTCTTTTTGAGTTTATCATAAAGGTTTGGAATCGATGGCAAGATTAGGATAAAAATCACTAACATAATTTAAACATCCTAAGAACCGTTGAAGGTTTTTCTTATCAAGTATTTGATCAGGAAACTTACCAGCAAATTGAATTGATCTATCAATGGGAATAATTGTGCCATGGTGGATCATGTGTCCTAGAAACCTAATATTGGTTTTGAATAAAGTAATCTTTTTAGCTGATACAACCAATCCAGCATTTTGGACTGCATTGATAAAAGTATGAATATGTTTAATATGTTGATCTATAGATTCAGAGAAGATCAAAACATCATCAATATAAACAATCATGAAATGATGATAAGTATTGAAAACATCATTCATTATTTTATGAAATTCTGATGGAGCATTTTTTAAACCGAAAGGCATGACATTCCATTCGTATTGACCAAATGGGACATTAAAGGCTGTTTTATATTTATCTTGTTCTTGAATATGTATTTGCCAATATCCAGACTTCATATCAAATTTAGAGAAGATACAAGCATTAGCAACTCTATCTAATAGATCTTTTTTATTAGGGATATGATATCTAATCCATTTTAAAACTTTATTAAGAGGTTTATAATTGATAACTAGTCGAGGAACTCGTCGTTCTTTTTCAGCATTTTTATTAACATAAAATGCTGCACAGCTCCAAAGTGAGAAGCTTGGTCTTATTAACTTTTTTATTTGAAGATCCTTGATTTCTTTGCGACACATATCAAGTAGGATAGTATTCATCTGTATGGGTCTAGCTTTTGTAAGTATTTGGCTTTCATCAAAACCTGGTGCATATGGTAGACTAATACTATGCTTTTTTTTTTTCCCAAAAAGCATTGGGATGCTCACTGCATATAGAAGTTTCTATTTGTTTTTGTATGCTTTCAATTTTTTGTTGAATCAGAGGATTGTTTATTTGTTCTCCGATATGCTTATATTTCATTTCTTGCTTTAATATACAAAGGAATTTTTCTTTATTTTGTAATTGGCTTTTGACATTATTTTTT